TCAAACTGTGTCCTCCCTCATTGCAGACACAAAGCTCGAGCATAACTTCAATAAGCATTTTATACTTATATGCCAACCCCGTACGAAGGACGGGTACTCTGCTAGTCTATTATATTATTAAAGTGATACAATCAAATTTTATGTAAACGGTTAAGGTCATTTACCAAATAAAAATATAGGCATATGGCACATCAAAATGAAGCTTAGAGTGTGTAGATTTGCCGAAAAGTATTGATATGGACGAATTTCCTAAGGGCTCTGCCCCACAGGCTAATTTCCAAAGGGCTACCCCTGGCATATTTCCAAAGTTCAAATGATATAATTCAATTTAGTTCATGAAACAGCTGGTCAGTGCAATGAATTGGTGTTTGTTTATTTACTAGAAAAATGAAGATTGAGGAGGGTTATGTTTGGTTTTAAAGAAAGGTTGTATAAGTTTTGTTTAAGTATTGCTCAAAGTTTTTATTTTGTAATTTATATAGTAAGCTAGATGGAAAGAGGCTTGACTAAAATTGAAGAATTATGGTAAAACATGTCATTCACGAAGCAGCAATATGAAGAAATTGATGCTAAGGTATGTGTCCGTATGGAGGTATGTTCTTTTGGATCTATTAACATCAAAAGTAAGGGTTTGAAAGTAGGATTACACTTTTAAATCAGTTTATATTTTCAAACTAAATCATAGAGTTGCTGTATTTTAAAACACACATCAGCACCACTTGAATAGCTCTCTAGGTCACATTTTCTTCCCGTTGCAAAGCACGGGTATAGCAGCTTGTCACTTTCTAAATTAGTGAAACCATCACGATCGGCTGTTACCGAGGTTGTCTACTAATAATGAATTAGGTTACCGAAATTTAATCAAACGATGTAAATACATAATGACAAAAACACAGCAATAAATTGAAAATGTATCGATAAACAGTACATGTGATTATTAATCGAAGCTTACAAATGAGAAGCAAGTTCAGCTGAGATCATCGACTCCAGCCGATTCGTTCCTATACCGATAAAAATCTCTATACTTATAAAAGGCAAAGCCCTCACTGACACACTCACTCACTCACTCATCACTAATTCTCCCACTTCCCATTTACCTAGGAGGCTGAAATTTGGCACACCGATTCTTTAGGCATTAAATAGGAAAACTAAGTTGTTTTTATTCTGATCGGACCCTCGGGCTCCGCCCCAGTGGCTCTGGAGTTTCCCATGTTAACCTTATGATTTTTCATATTTAAAAGGAATTAATGAATCTTATCAGCTGTTTCAATTAAACAAGTTGGTTCTGTTCTATGATGTTCAATAGCATTACAGTTACAAGGATTACCAACAGGGTGTAGCACTATTTTTTTTTCTAAATTCATGACAAAAGCTAATTTGCAACCAAAAGGTGAGTGAGCGTAGCGAACGAACTTCAACCTGGAGGCGAGTTAGCGTAGCGAACGAGCTAACCTGAAGGCAAGTGAGCGCAGCGAACTAGCTCCAACCTAAAGGTGAGTGAGCGTAGCGAACGAACTTCAACCAGGACGTAATTGAGCCATGCGAACGAGCTCATCTTGAAAATTAAGAAGTTAAACGGGGCAAAGCCCGCGGGTACAGCTAGTAATTCATAAAATCTACAACTCATGTATTGAAAACAGCTGTTTTACCGTGTCACGAAAAATGTGTTAGCAAAGCTTAGCATCCGATTGTTGATACGGTTATGTTACGGTTAGTTTAGGTTGCATCGCCAGTGTAACAGTTAAGAAATAAAACTGCTTGGAAAACACAGGGATATATCTAACTACAAACAACAAGCTTTCACAAAATGAAATTTATTCAATTTTAGAAACATTGCAAATTTATTGCGCGTTAAACAAATGAATCCAGCCTAGCAAATAAAATGTTGAGGTTTTCTGAGCCGAATTTTATTGGATGAGCTCATGGTTCAGTTTAAAGCAAAAATAAATATATACTTTATTGGTTTACTTAACCATAGTCCACTGAATATTGTGACAAATATTCTTTTCGTTTCAATAACCTTCTATCCTTCTTCCTTCCTTCTTCCTTCTTTCCTTCTTTCTTTAGTTCTTTTCTTTTAACCTCCAAGTACTTGCAGTAGAAATGCAATTGACTACTCTCACAATAAGTGAGTCTCGGTCTCGACAACTCACACCAGTGAATGCAACTGTCTCCCATCTTTATCGCTTCATACTAGTGATGTGACCACTAAGCTGGCATGAAACCCAAAGTATTGATGAAATAATACGTATTAACAATTGATTGCATTGCAAATACACGTTTCAAAGCACTTCAGATACCGCTAGGAGACTTCTACACGAGGTGTGCAGTTTTGATAGATTAGAAAAATAGATGGATAGAAAAGTGTTTTATTAATTATATATGTACATGAGATGCAATAATTTTGTTCCATAACGCACATAGAAAAATGCTCAAACGACGGTACACATATAGTCTGGGTTGGCATAGTCTCCATACAATATTAGCAAAACAAACCCTATTTAAAGGGCACTAACAAAACACATAATACAAGAAACCCAAATTAGCCAACGTAACTTTTGTCTATTTCATTCTATTGTCTATTGCCTACTAGCATTGACTATTGGATACTGAAGTTGAAGTTGTATTAATAGTCAAAGCTACTAGCCAGCATAACAAGTAAGCCTAGTTAAGAGATTACTTAGTAACAGATAGAAACATATTTTTAAGTTAAAAACCACGACCCCTCAAATATTACAATCGTACGAATGTGTCCGGACGCAAATTACGTACTTTATTTAGAATAGGGTCCAAAACTTGTCTCTGAAATAATTCAATACCGTTTTACCTTAACAAATTACTTCGTAGCTGAAAAAACTTGAAACCACATAATTAAATAATCAAAAAAACGAAGTAATACAAACGAATGTAATAGTTTGTTAAGATGATGAGGATTAGATTATTCAAATTACTAATTTTCAATGTTTAATATATGTAGATTGTATAGTAAAATACACAATGAATATTTTTATAAAAGGTTAAGGGGACAATGCTTTAAAGTAAATTACCTTTTTAATTATTATTCGTCCCTCCGCTAGGTTATAAGCTTTACAATTGCACCGGTTAAGTAGGACGAATAAAAAATTGATGTTACAGAGGACGCCCCTTGTAGTATCAAGTACAAAGTAGAGTCTCATATGTATTAGATGAAATCGATTTTCAAATTTGGTGTATTTTGGTATTTACAGTTAATTTCTGCGGCAATAATACTGTAAAGTTATCAACCATTTAAGTTCTGCAGCAAAAATTAAATTGTAATTTTGCATTACATTATATTGCGTGTAGGGGTTGATTTATCAGTATCTTAAAAACATCAAAAGTATCAGAATCCATGAATGTGTTTTGATTACAACCTCTACCCGGTAGAGTCCATTCATGAACTGATCCGGTTGTTGAACTATATCGGACAACTAATCGTAACCGAATAGTCGCACACTTTGCGATTCGATATCAGCTGTTTACGATGTCCTTTAATCCAACACAAACTAATCAGGCTTGGGTGAATGTTAATACAGTACATGAAATTACTTAGGTGGTTTGCTTAGAACATTTCATATAGTGTTCAGTTGTTAAAGGTATAAGTTTACAAAAATCTAAATGTTGTGAACTAACTGATATACTGGCATATTAAAGAAATGAGACATAATTTGCAATAAAAAAATTTTAATTAGTATTTGCTCTTTACTTTATATGGATAAATCACGTTTTTACATGTCAAAATGTTGTTTGAGTTTGTCCCTACTTTTAGTTGGGGCCAAAAAAACGAAGCACAGACAATATAATACAGTACTGTGAACGAAGCGTCCTAAACTCATGTACGATAAAAAATCTATTAGAACTAGGGAGTGCATTTTCTCCCTTATTTTAGACCGATAAAAATAATACTGGGATTAGAATATTTTACAAAAGTGTACAAATCTGTACATATTTCTTTTACATTTAACAAAACATGTAGGTCTAATAAATGAGGCCTGCATGACTTGATAAACAAATTCATAATGACGATCTCATACTAGATATATTTGTTTCTAGAATACAGTAAATTGAGTAATTTCACAACCGATAATTCGATATGTCAAACGCACGACTACTTTCATTCGTATCGAACTGTCACATTCGATATCCGCAAAGCAGTGGCGAGACGTCAGTTACGATCGATATTTGCGCGCCGTCGCCGCCAAAGTCGTCGCAGGGATGCAAAAATACCAGAACAATCTTAAATGAACCATAATTTAGTGGAAGATAGAAGTTGGAAACGTGCAAATTTGTATTAGATCCTAGAAATACTACCCCACAGATGATATTTTGTGTAGTGACAATTCAAACGTATTTTTTATATTCATTGTTTGAAGTTCGTTATTGTGATGATGAGTTTATGTTTACAGGATTGTTATTGCAGTCATCGCGATTAGTAAAGAAACTTCGTAGTTTGTTTGTGTGGGAAACTTTGTTTGCAGCGAATTTCCAATCTATTACCGGAACGTAGGTGTCATGGTAAGACCTACGTAGCGAAGCCCTAAATGACCAACAGTGATGTATAATTCCCTTGAATAAAATTTCAAGGGACATTCATCCTATGTAGTGATGATGGTTGGTGAATAACAGTGATAATGAACCTTACAATTGAATCTTCAACAAAACCACACAAAACACATTGCGCCATCAAATTTATTTATAGATTCGCCGCCAAAACCTCTGAATAGCATTGTTCAGAAAAATGCGACACCTAGTAGAAAAAATGTACGACCAGCCACTCTTTCGAATGTCATTGCTCTAAAAGGTGCTGCAGCCAAGAATTCGATGCCATAAGACACTGGAACCAATTCGCACAACCCCGAAGACACTTCAAAAATACTTATAACCGAACAGTTCGCAAAATTCTGGCGTGCGCTATAAATGTGCGCCAGGTACGACAATTGTCGGCGTCGCAGTGGCAGTGTGTACGCTGGTAGTGGCGCTGTGTCAGCGACAGTGTCGTGCGAGCCATGCTCTCGTGCACAGCATGCATGTCACAGCACGATTGCTGCGACGCTGTGTCACATCGCTGTTACTCGCGCTGTTCTGCCTACCAGTCGCTGTCATCATCTTTGACACACTGCCGCAGCGCGCCCCACACCGCCATGAGGTACGTGGTGTACTGCTAAAAAATATCGTGGACAGTGTGTAGCATTTTGTGAAAGTCGTGCGTTGGTGTGGTGTGATTTAGGGGCTGTTACGGTTATTTTCTACTTGAATGCTTAGATCACTATTTTTACGAAACATTTTTGGCTCCCTTGCAATAAAAATTCGAAAACCCATCAAAAGTAGAAAAAAATGTATACTCAATTAATTTGTAAGTTGATGTAACGCCGTTTAAGAAATCACTATAGCAACATTCACTATGAAAAAGGTTTTGCGACCATTTGACAGCCCCGACAATGGCCCGATGGAATACCCGAAACGCTGCATTAAAATCTGATAGAATTCGGTATTTACATGTTTTACTAATTAATTTAAGAATTAAAAAGGCTATTTTATAGTTAAGTGATCAATACATAAAAAGGATTCGAAAATTCTGGAATGACCAACAAATAATCCACGTACAAACAATAAAAAATATAAAATTTTACAAAAATATTTTATAACTTAAGATACATTTAAGATAGAAATATCACATTTGTTAAAAATGTGTACCTTAATAGGCAAAATATGCCTAGAAAGTTTCGATGCTACACCAGATAAAAAATGGCTGCAGTTTAAAATGATTAATGTCAAATTCCCTGAAAACCGTTACAACTATCAAACATTATTAAGGTACAGTAAGTAAAAAGCGCACCGTTTAAAGCCAAATCAAACGACCCCTTATTTACTAAAATCGAATAATAAACAACCAAGTGGTAATAATTTTCGCGAATCATTGTAATTTACACAATACCACAATACACCTCTACTGTAGAGATGTAATAGCCAATTACAATACATACCTAAAACATTGTTTTACATGACACGCGATTCGGCCAATCAATAATCAGCTGTTTTATGTCCATTTCATGTTAAATTTGGATCCGGTGTTTACTATTAACTCCAATAGTATACAATTCAAATCAAAAGTGTTGAAATTCAATGTGGGAAAATTAGTGTATACAACAATAACAGTTATTGTAGTAAGATAAAAGTTGTAACACCTCGAAAAAATGTAAATGTCAAACTTGATTTTGATATAAGTTCTCAAGGCGAGTTGATCAAATCGTCGTGAAATATAAGTGACGGAAACTCATTTATTGTTTTCCCTCTGCTTTTTAACCTTAGGAAATTATTCAAGATTAATCTCTACGATATGCAAACAGTGGAATAAAACCGTGCCAAGGCCAAACCTGCTTTAATTGCAATGACATAAAATACATTTTCACGAATATTTCAGGATAAATATTTTGGGTTATAGCTGTTAATTTAATGTATATTTTCGACCTATTTTTAAACTAAGCACGTTTTAACTCCTACAATCGTATCTTGTTAGTAAATTTCAATGAATGGTAAATTACTTATAAAATAATCCAGTTACTTGTTATTAAAATATTGTTGAACAATTTTATTGGGTGGCACTGTATTTTGACACCATTTTTCTGATTTAAAATCAATTGTTAAAATGTTATTAATTACTATCAATTTTATTCGAGGGGAAAATAAAAAGTATCGTAAGAAAGATAACCAGGTTTAAGTTGGTTCCTACTTATATCAATAACAAAAACCTTACTTAAAACTTTTTATTAAGTTGTTCTTCATATTGTTGACGCAAATTTTCATTTCTATGAACAGCTGTATAGTTTTTTTAGAGTTATTCTTAAGTTTTTTTTTACGAAAAAATCCATATCATTACTGGATTTTGTTGAACAACCAAATTAAAAACTTAGAGAACTGTGAAAACTGTGGGAGTGTTAAAAAACTGTCATTTAAAATATTCTCTACCAAATAGCATTTTAAGCTAATAAATAGCTTTCCCCGTTCTTATCAACCGTTCCGCTCGTTTTTGGGGCTACTGCGTCAATTTGAGTATTCAATTGAGCTAGTCCGTGCGCTTTCAAAGTTGCCCTGTCAAGCTTTAGATCTTTTCAAAACACAAAATACATTCTGTTCTGGTGTTTTTAGAAAAGCTTAAAATGCCTGAATATAATTTGTTGGCGTACGGTATCTCAAATGCATATGACTTTTCACAGTTACACAGGTAATATATACGCTCGTTGGATGGAATATGTTTTTGAACTATGTAGCAAATTTGATCAGTAGTAGTTGAGATTTTTTGTAACTTAAAAAACTATTATTTACTCCAAGGTCCATATCTTGTACGTGTAAAAAAACCACAATCGTTAGATTTCAATGTGATAAAAAGATCAGTTATGACTCATAAGTAACCAAGCCAACTAAAGAACATTGAGCTATTTCAATCATTGAGCTATTCTGTCAAGAATTATCCAAATAAGATAAGTCATTCCAACGAGAATGGCGAAAAAGTCACCAGATTTAATCTGTGATTGCTTGTTCACAGAGCAAACCATCGGGCGCCATTTGCTCGTTAAATGAAAATTAAACAGCTAACATTTCCTTTGTAAAGAAGACTTGTTTAGTTAAACAACTATTTGAGCTCTTTAATGGCCAGGTGCTGAGCAAAGTGTGATTAAATTCTTCTTCTCCTTTACAAACTGTGAGATTAAATATTTAAGTTTCTTGCGTCTTAATTCCAACCTTGAAAATTGGATTATTTTGACAATGAAATACTAATTTTGAAACCTTCTACAGTACAGTATTGGAAAATATGGCTTTAATTAGTTTCATATTATGATTACGCTTGATTGTACATATTTAATTTCAGAATTTTGTAAATTTTAAATTGTTCTCTTAGCTCTTTGAATATAATACAAGAGAATAGGTAACAGTGCATACGTGGATCGTTTTCGTGGCAAAATTAGTTTTGCGGTTTGTAAAATAACAGGAAAAATATTTAAAAAAAACCCTTAAATAATCTACATAAACTAACAATTAATTCAGGGCGAACACTCCATCGCCCACCCAATTCATTTTTATTCAAAGCCAACTTAAAACACACCCGTCGATGGCTTAAAGGATTGATTGATTGGATGATTGATTACAATTTAAGCTTGAACCCCTGTGGAATATCTAAAGTCTAGTTTGACAGACCTGACAATTAACAACAATCATGTCTTACAAGAGCTGAACAGGGAAACCTCAAAAGTTGGAAATTATCGATAATCTGTCATCCTTCCCAGGCTTCACTCACCCCGCAACAACAATCAATAGCAATTTAGTGTTAGTGGTAGTATATAACTGTATACCCGTATGTGTAGCCGTGTCTAGCAAGATAATATTGTAATCACATAAACTTAAAATGCCTGACAACTGCTGACAGATGGCATTTTACGCCATGTCATTGATAACTTGTCATATTTATGGGTGGCACATTGTTACTACTGTCATTTGATAGGCGAGGGGTAAAATATTCGTTGAACCTTTGAATGTGCGTTGAAATACTTTGCAACAATGAATGGTTAAAACATTACATGATGTACGGGTTTACAAACTCTTTCACGCAAACGGTTGTGTATAAAATTAAAATACCGTGATGGTATTAAATCCATCGAAATACTGGTAAATATTAAAACTGGCGTAAACACACGCTTACGGTAAACCCCAAACCGAGCAACAGCAGTTATATTTGTGGCTCGACGTCCGCAGCGTTTGCGTTTCACAAAATTATAAGTAAACTTTATGATCATCATGTAATCGCGTATGTACATTAATGTTCTTTTCACCACACTATGATGTTTTAGCTGTTTTACATACGTTAATTCTTGGCTGAAAGTTACGTTTTGCTGGCCATGCCAGCTGTCGTCATTATTTGGGGACCGAGCAGGTTTACATCCCTAGGGCCGCAAAATCAGCTGTCCGCTTACTTTCTTAAAACATGAATGCATATTAAATACACAATCAGTATCCATAACATTGCAATCGAACTGTTTTATTGTCACCGCTGCTTAGCAACTATATATTATTATTTTTGCTGATTCCTCAAATTATTTCTTCACATAACCTTAAAGTTGTAGTTGTGTTGACTATCAGTGTGCATTATTATTGTGGTGAATAGTTGTAATAGGGTATAGTGTGGTGAAAAATAGCGTTCATACCACGGACCGAAATGGTTTTTCAGCTCTCGATCGTTTTAAGTTTGAGACGAAGTAGAGAACTTAAAAACTATCTCGAGCCGGCAAATAAACCTCATACTATTTAAGTTTATAGGGTAATATATTTAACAGAATATGACAAAGTTGTTCAAGTACAGCTTCATGATGGCACTTGGCTACTTACTCTAGTGAATTATTAAAATTTATAGTTCATCATTAGTTGGTATTTAAAATTGTTCACAGTTAAAATAAAAATATTTTATTGACATAAGGAAAAATTGATAAAACATTAAAAAATTTACATTAGGAAATTCCTTGCTGATATTAGGACAATTTAATTTAAAATGAGTACATTATATTGTTATGGAAGACTTTTGAAACACAATTTGATTTTAGCTTTGTTACTAACTTAAGATCACGCGTTTTTTAGCTATAAAAGATCAATGTTCAAGGACAACACTGTTTTCAAACATAAAAAAAAAACTGTGGCTACTTTTATAGGATTGAACCGACAACCTTCGTTATAGAGTTGACACAGTTCAACATTTATACGTATTATACTATAAATGCATTAATTCACAAATTGGGTGTTAACGCATTTATCAGCAATGTAAAAAAGGAATATAAATAGGCTACAAATAATTATTTTTCTTCCAGAAAAAATCACTATTAGTAACCAAGTCCTAGCTTACATTAATTCTAGCCAAGCAATATCATAAAAGCTTCCAGCCAGTTAAAACTTGAAAATAAGACAAGACTAATGGTTAAATTCGAAACACCAAAAATACAGCTAAATTGTATTTTTGGTACATGACATAGACCATCTTTAAATAATTACACAGGTTCATTGAGTTCACATGATAGTACAATAATCGTTTTTAAGGCAGTGTTAAAATGTTACATAAATTGTAAAACTGTCCAGAAACGTTCTATAATTGTCCTCTAATCGTAT